GTAGAGGGAACTTCCAAGCTACTAGGCTGTGGCTGAACTTAGGGCAAAAACATAAACTCCTTAAGTTTTAACAACAGCCCCCAAGCCATGTGTACACCCAACAATAAAGGGTAAAAATATAACTAACTAATGAGATCTACACACAACATTTCACTAGTAAGTAGTTTATGTGGATCAAGGGCTGACTCCTAATGAGCCAGACTAAAAGTGAAAAAGGGGAAAATAAAAGCATTCTTCACAAGGGCATCAGAATTTGTACACTGTGGGAGAAATAGACTTCACATAGTACAATCAAATCATTAAACAAATAAATGGCAAAGAAAACAAGAAAAATAACATCAACCTCCAGTGGGCAGGAGAGGAGAAAGGAGAAGAATCAGTATTGAGAGTTACTAGAATACATTACTTCAAATGTTCAGTTTTTAACAACAGCAGCAACAAAATGATGAGACATTAAAAGAAATAGGAAAGTGTGGCCAATACACTGGATAAAAAGCAGGCAATAGATACTGCTTTTGAGGGGGCCCAGTTGTAGGACATACCAGAAAAAGACATCAAAGCAGCTGAGTTTATAAATATGTTCAAGGACCTCAAGGAAACCATACTTAAAAGAATTAAAGGAAGTTATGATGACAATGTCTCAGCAAATAAGAATATCAATAAAGAGATAAAAATCACAGGAAAAAATTCTAGAGTTGAAAATTATGATAACTGAAAAGAAAAATTCAGTAAAGGGGCTCAACAATATATTTAAACTAGCAGAAGAAAGAATAAGTGAACTTGATGATAGATTGTTATAGGTTATACAACCTAAAAAGACAGGGGAAAAAAGGGGAAGAAAAATGAGCAGAACCTCAGGAAATGTGGGACACCATTAAGTGTCCCACCACTTACTGACAGTGGAAGGACCAGAAGACCAAAAAAGGGGTAGAAAAAAATTCATAGAAATAATAGCTGAAAACTTCTCAAATTGAAGAAAATCACTAACTGACACATTCATGAAGCTCAACAACTTCCAAGCAGGATAAAAGCAAAGAGATCCATACCTAGATACATCAGAATCAAAATGATGAAAACCACAAATGAAAACAAAATCAGTAAGAGCAAAATGGTTAATTACATATAAGGGAATCCCAATAACATTAACAACTGACTTCTCATTGGAAACAGCAGAGACCAAAGGACAATGGATGACAAATTCAAAGTACTGAAAGTAAAAAACTGTTAACCAAGAATCGTATATCCAGAAGAACTATGTTTCAAAAATTAAGATTCAATAAACAAATAAGAATAGATGAAGGGTTAGAGAATTTTCTGCTAGCAGACCTGCTTTGGGGGAAAAAAATTAAAAAACTAAAGGGAGTTATTCAGGCTGAAAACAGGTGACACCAAATAACAATTTAGATCCTTATCCTCACAAAATTAAAAATATTTATGCTAATACTTAGGGAAATACTATAAATAACTGCATGCCAACAAATTACATCATTTAGATAAAATAAACAAATTCCTAGAAACACACAAACTACTAAAACTGACTCAAGAATAGAAAATATGAATAGATCTATAACAAGGAATGATATTAAGTTAATAATTAACAATATTCCCACAAAGAAAATCCCAGGACCAGATGGCTTGTGAATTCTACCAAAACACTTAAAGAATTAACGTCAATCTTTCACAAACTCTTCCAAAGAACAAAAGACCAGGTGGTATTTTCTAATTAATTATTTGAGTCTAAAATTACCCTGATACCAAACCAGGTTAAGATATCACAAAAAATAATAATAACAATAAAACTGCAGACCAATATCCCTTGTGAGTATAGATGTAAAACTACCAGACATAATACTAGCAAACTGAATTCAGTAACATATGAAAAAGATTATATGCCATAACCAAGTGGGATTTATCCCAGGAACGGAAAGCTGGTTTAATATCTGAATATCAATTAATGTAATACACACAATAAGGAAAGAATAGAAAGAATAGTCTTTTCTTTTTTTTTTTTTTTTTCAACGTTTATTTATTTTTGGGACAGAGAGAGACAGAGCATGAACGGGGGAGGGGCAGAGAGAGAGAGGGAGACACAGAATCGGAAACAGGCTCCAGGCTCTGAGCCATCAGCCCAGAGCCCGACGCGGGGCTCGAACTCCCGGACCGCGAGATCGTGACCTGGCTGAAGTCGGACGCTTAACCGACTGCGCCACCCAGGCGCCCCAAGAATAGTCTTTTCAATAGATGATGCTGAGACAACTGAATGACCACATGCAAAAGAATGAAGTTGTACTCCTACCTGACACCATAGATAAAAATTATCTATCACAGACCTAAATGTAATAGCTGAAACTATATAACTCTTAGAAGAAAATTTAGGAGTAAATCTTTGTGATCTTGGTTGGGGCAAAGCTTTCTTAGATATAACACCAAAAGCACAAGCAACAACAAAAAATTTGGATAGGTTGTGCTAAATCAAAATTAAATACTTTTCTGCAGTAATATTACCATCAAAAAAGTGAAAAGCGGGGCACCTGGGTGGCTCAGTTGGTTGAGCGTCCAACTTCAGCTCAGGTCATGATCTCACAGCTCATGGGTTCAAGCCCCACATCGGGCTCTGTGCTGACAGCTTGGAGCCTGGAGTCTGCTTCTGATTCTGTCTCCCTCTCTCTCTGCCCCTAACCCACTTGCATTCTGCCTCTGTCTATCTCAAAAATAAACATTAAAAAAAAAAAGCGAAAAGAGAATCTATAAAATGGGAGAGGATGTTAGTAAATCAAACATCTGATAAGGGACTTGTATCCAGAATATATGAAGACCTTTTACAACTCAATAATAAAAATTCAAATAGCATAATTAAAAATTGGGCAAAAGATTTGAATACACATTTCTCCAAAGATACACAACTAGCCAATAAGAACATGGAAAGATGCTCAACATCATTAATCATTAGGGAAATGGAAATCATAACCCCAATGAGATATCTCTTTATGCCCACCAGGATAGTCATAACCAAAAAGACAGATAATAACAAGTGTTGAGAAGTATGTGTGAAAATTAGAATACATTAATGGAAATGTAAAATGGTACAGTCACTTGGGAAAAGAGTATGGCAGTTCCTCAAAACGTTAAGCACAGAGTTACTATATGACCCAGCAATTCCACTCTTTGGCATATATCCAAGAGAAATGAAACATATGTCCATACAAAAACTTATACACGAAGGTTTTTAGCAGAATTATTCATAATTGCCAAAAGATAAGAAAAACAAATATCCACCAACTGATGAATGAATAGATAAAATGTGGTATATTCAAAAATGGAATATTATTCAACAACAAAAAATGGATTAAGTACTGATTCATGCTAAATGTATGAACTTGGAACACATGCTACATGAAAAAAAAACAGCACAAAAGACTACATGGTGAATTATTATGTTCATGTGAAATATTCAGAATAGGCAAATCCATAAAGATAGAAAATTAGTGATTGCCTTGGGCTTAGGAGGGAGGAATGGGAGGAAGGCAAAGAAACTGCTAATGAGTATGGAGTTCCTTTTCAGGGTGATGAAAATGTTCTACAATTAGACCACGCAGTAGTTGCACAATTCTGTGAATATACTAAAAACCACTGAATTGTAGATTTTAAATGGGTGAATATTATGTATGTGAATTATACCTCAGAAAAGATGTTTGTTTGTTTGTTTGTTTGTTTGTTTGTTTGTTTGTTTGTTTTTTAACCTGACCATCTACTTCTATACTGGATCTTTCTTTTGGCATTAGAGAAAGTCAAAACTTTCTATAAACTTTTTAGAGAATGTTAACTAGTTTCTATAAAATAGTTCCTCTGTCATAGTTAAATAGTCCAAGAATACATGAATAGTCCATGAGCAGTCCACAGGAAAATAGTCCACGATTGGTCCAAGACTGACTGACAGCTCACTGGTGACTGGTTATATATCCCTGATCTAGTCACTTATACTGTCTGTTGGAGCTGAGCTAGGGTGCTGATAAGTAAAGGCAGAACTTCCCCTGGATAATTCCTTCCATTAGAGTCCTCAGGTTCTGTAAAAATAATTAACTCCAATCAATTCCATATGTAAAAATCTGTTCCCTATCTCATTAATTCTTCTTTTTTATTTTTTAATTTTTAAACTTTTTTTTAAACGTTTTATCTTTGAGAAACAGAACATGAGCAGGGGAGGGGCAGAGAGAGACACACACACAGAATCTGAACCAGGGTCCAGGCTCTGAGCTGGCAGGACAGAGCCCGACACAGGGCCCCAACCCACGAACTATGAGATCATGACCTGAGCCAAAGTCAGATGCCCAACAGACTGAGCCACCCAGGCACACCACTTTTTTAATTTTTAAAAACATTTTTAAGTTTATTTATCTTAAGAGAGAGAGAACGTAAGTGGGGAAGGGGCACAGAGAGAGGGTGAGAGAGAGAATCCCAAGGAGGTTCCACATCACCAGGGCAGAGCCCAATGTGGGGCTTGAACTCACAAACTGTGAGATCATGACCTGAGCTGAAGTCAGATGCTTAACTGCTTCAGCCACCCAGAAGCCCCCCTAATTCGTTAATTCTAAAAATTTCTGCACATTGAGGTTGCTTGGAGGAAATTATAGTTTTTCTATCCTATGCACACTTATCTCCATGCTCTGGAGAATGAAACTAATATTGTATTAGCTATAAGTTGTTAAGCGATAGGGCTGATAGATATTGTGGACCAATAGTTGTAGATCTTCATTTAAAAGGCAACCCTACACAGTCAGCTTTCTTTCAGAAAGAAACAGAAGAAAGGGAAGAAAGGAAGAAGGAAGAACAACAAATATAAGAGCAGAGAATTCATTAAGCCAGTGGAATGAGAAATGATTTTTATCTTCCTTCTTATCATCTAAATTGTAATACGAATCATGCATACTATAATCAACTAAATCACATGACATTAGTTTTATAAGGTACACAGCAGATTGACTTGAAAAGACAAAGAATACCTTCTGGGGGAGTCCCAATGCTGCTTCCAAGACCCAAAATAGCCATCTTGTGAATCCTTGGCTCCAGCATCACAGCAGATTCTTCCCCCCTCTCCCAGTGGGGTATTTTGACCGGCTCCAAGTGGACATTCTCCAGCCCATCTTCCTGCAGGTTCTGGTGCATGATTTGGATGGCTTTTTCTAAGCTCTTGGAACCACTTGGTCTGGGTCCAACAGTATCCACCAGAAGTGCCAGTCGCTCATAGGATCTGTTCTGGGCTTTACCATAAACAGCAAGGTTGATGATTGCTTTAGCAACATCTCCATAGCTGGCTATTTCTTCTTTAATTTCTTGAAAAGACCTCTGAGAGATGTCATTCTTATATATTGTTTTCCCAGAGCTCAGGGATAAAAGGTGAACAACCCCAACAAATGTGAGGAGAAGGAACTTCATTGATTTTTCCAGTTGGTTTTCTTCCTAAAATAATCTATTAAGTAAAAAAAAAAAAACAACAAAAAAAAAAACATGTTTTAGGGGGAAAGAATCTCACAGCTATCTGCCCATAACCCAGGAATTGCTTTTCTTTTCTTTACAATAGACTTTTTTTAAGTTTTATTTATTTATTTTGAGAGAGAGAGGGGGAGAGAGAGAGGGAGAGAGCATGAGCTGGGAAGGGGCAGAGAGAGAAGGAGAGAGAGAATCCCAAGCAGGTTCTGCACTGTCAGCACAGAGCCCAAAGTGGGGCTCGAACTCACTAACCGAACCATAAGATTATGACTTAAACCAAAATCAAGAGTGGGAAGCTTAACCAGGTGTCCCCCAGGGACTACTTTTCAAACAGGAGTCCCCTTCTCTTCTCAACCACTGCCCAACTTCCATCATCAAATGCAGGCACCATAAGTCGCAGGAATGAAAATGTACAGAGACAATGATTGGCTTAATATGCAGTATTTATTAAAACAACAGAATCACATGTTACCTAGTAATCCAGTTTAAAATATGCTAAAAGGTTGGGGTGCCTGGGTGGCTCAGTTGATTCAGCGTCTAACTCTTGATTTTGTCTCAGGTCATGATCTCAGGGTTTGTGAGTTCAATCTCTACAAGGGGCTCTGGGCTCTGGGCTCTGTGCTGACACGGTGAAATCTGCTTGGGATCCTCACTCTCATCTCTCTGTGCTCCTCCCCTCCCCGCACCCCTCCCCAACCTGCTCATGTGATCTCTCAAAATAAATAAATAAACATTTTTTAAAATATGCTAAGAGGTTAAAATAAAACAACTAGGAAAGAGAGGAAGAAACAGTGTTACCAGTGTGTAGCAGTCATAGGGCTCAGAAACTACTGTCTGCTGCTCCTCCCTCTTAATAGAGTATGATCCAAATGGGTTTTAGAGTTTCCTGTACCTGATATGCTCTCTCCTATCTGCCTATTGAACTCGTCCATCAAGGCCGCTGCAGATATTATCTTTTCCTGGTGCTTTCTCTAACCCCAACTGCTCCACATTTAATCCTCACAACAACTCTATGAGATTGTTTCTTTTTTAAAATATTTATTTACTTAAATAATCTCTACAACATGGGGCTTGAATTCACAACCCCAGGATCAAGAGTCACGCGCTCTTCTGACAGAACAAGCCAGGTGCCCCTCTATGAAATAATTTCTTAAAATTACTTTCATTTTATAAAAGAGGATCCTGGGGTAGTAAGAGATTAAGTGACTTGCCATAGACACACAAAGGCTTTCTCACTCTAGAGTCCATGCTCTAAATGCCTGAAAGTATGGTTTGAGGGCCAATGCCAGTCCACAGCTGTTTTTCACTAATACAATAAATACAGAGGTTAAGAGCAAACACATCCCATGCTGTGCAGCAAAGTAACCAATAGCCTCATGTGATTATTTCAATTTAAACTGATTTAAATGAAATAAAATATTTAGCTTTTCAGTCATACTAGCTGCATTTCATATGCTCAATAGCCACATGTGGCTAGCAGCTACCATATTGGGCAACACAGATAAAATATTTCCATCATCATAAAAGGTTCTATTGGATAGCACTGATTTAGACATCTTTATATACAATTGACTGAGTAATTGTACCTTTGTCTAACCTATGATTAAAAAGTGGTGCTTCTCTTTGTGTGTCTCTTCTATTTCATTTTTCAAATTCACTGCTATTGTATTTTGCAAAAGTCTAATAAACTTGACATTTTAAAAACTGGTCTTTCACCAGAGATAATTTGAGAATCGCAGTCATGAACTACTATATTATAGGGGTAAATTTCAAATTCAACTAGCATACAAGGCCTTTCAAAATAAGCCTCCAACAACCACTTCAAACTCATCTCTCTACTTCCCCCTCTGGAGCACACAAATGTCTTCCTTCTTTTTCTCATTCTCTCTTCCTCTCTTTCCTTCTTCCTTTTTTCCTCTTTCTTTCTCTCTCTATCAAACACGCGCGCGCGCACATACACACACACACACACATCTTAGGGAAGCTTCTAGATATACTGAGCATTTGAAATGGGGGACTAGTCCAAATTGAGATGTTTTTTAAGGTAAAATATATACCTGATTTAATCTTTAAAACCAAATACTTCATATTTAAGTATGAAAAACAACATAATTATTAGGTTAAATAAAATATTATTCACCTGTTTCTTTTATGTTTTAATATGAAATTAGAAATGTTTAACTTACATACTTATATTTATATGGGTCAGTAATGCTCTAGCTGCATTGAACTTGACACTGTTCTTCTAACACCCAGGCCCCTTCATTACTCTAGATCTCTGCATATTTTCCTTCTCTTTGACCCCAAGGCCCTTCTCCTCACCCTACTCCTCTGCTCCTGGTAAAGGTCTCCAGAGACTCATTCTTTAATGAAAATGTTTTAAAAATCACCTCTTGTGCAGAGTCTCACCAAACACCACTGCAGAGTTAATTGCGCCATTGTCCATGCTTCTTCCCTAATTAACAATATTACCAACTAATATATTTGTTTATAAATTTGCCTCTCCTACTCTCAAAGTCAAGTAGGGTAAATTATTCATCACTGTACCTTCAATCATTGTACCCCTATGTAAGCATAGGGTACAGTACATTTTCATTTAGGGAATGAAGGAACCCTTAATCTCTCCAGGTCTTAGAGTCTTGTCTTTCCTCCTATACAAAGAAGCTGAGGGAATAAAAACTTGTGATCATATTTAAAATGTTTTGAAAAATTATGAAAACTATACATTGCTGTTGCTTTCCTTTTTATTAGAACTATTTATATGCATAGGTTCTTGGTTTCTATAGTCACTATTATTGATGCTTGTTTTTAAAAGCTAAATTTTATTAAACCATGGAAATATTTCACCAGATTGCAACTTATTCTTGAAGTACATTCTTTCAATGTGTTGTTAGTGCAAAAAAAAAAAAAAGGAAAGGCTAATAACATATTTATCAATTAACACTAACCATAAGTATCTACTTCTCATTAAAAATTCTCTAAGCATCCCATAGACATTAACTATTTCATAATACATACATTCTAGTAATGGCTTAGAATCATATAATGGCAATTTTGTGGAGATACAGGAGAGCTTAGGAATCCCTAGTCCATACACTTGTTTTGTAGAAACAGGGCCTGTGCTGTGATTCCCAGGTAGCAGATAAACCAACAAGTACAATCAACCAGGTAACTGGACCAACTAGTACAGACTTGCCAGAGGATTAAAAATTGTTTTCTTACCGGAAGCTGTATGCATTTACATATAATAGAAATTCAATGGACACTCAAGTGCAGTCTGAGAAGCAAATAACTCTAATATAACATATGTACTCAAATAGTCTCAACACCATAGCACTAAAACATAGAGAAGAACAAGAGAAATCATGAAAAGCCATGGAGAAGACGTGACAACTCAAGAGAGACTCAAGGAAAGGCTCCACAGGAAGAGAAGGGAACCCTCCTGGAGGGACCACTGGGACATCATCCCTCAGTCACATTCTGTTCAGAAGATATGTTCATAAAATAAGTGCCTGAATCTTTTATTTTTACATTTTTTGCATATACGTCAATTGAATTAATAGAAAACATGCCATTTTGATAATAAGACTTAACTGCTCTCTAATGTGATCATTTAAATTAATTTTGACATGAAAAAATGATGTAATTACTTTAAAACAGAAACTAGTATCTTTGAGTATTGTTCTTAATATCTTAACTATACTTTGTCTTTAAATCCTACAAATGTAATAAATGCTTATTTTTAAAAGTAATTTAATTTAAAAGATGATTATTTGTTACTTTCAATGGATCAGTTTGTTCCTTGACTGTAATATTAGTACTTTAGAAAATTTACAAGATTGAAGACACAAAACAACAAACTACATGAGAAATCACCTAAGAACACTTGACATAAGTAAACACTAAATAGATACTAGTTGATCCTAAACCTGATTTTCCTTGGAACATAATCTGAAAATTACTGATGTAATTCTTGGCTAAAGAACATAATTATATACCTCTCCAACAGAGCACTGCAAGAATCTTTTATTATTGTTGTTTTTAGGAAGGCACATTAGCCCAACTGAGATATGTTTTTGTTAATAAATAGTAGAAAATAATAATTATTACTAACAGTATATAGTTGGAGAGGTAACAAAAATAGAAAAAGATATCACTATATCACATTCCATGCAAGAAAAACACTGTAAATAATATGTAATTTAAAAACAAATCGTGCAGGGGTGCCTAGGTGGCTCAGTCAGTTAAGCATCTGACTTTTGATTTCAGATCAGGTCATGAGCTCATGGCTCATGGGATTGACCCCCACATTGGAGCTTCCAGTGACTGTACATTCATGATTTTATCAAATTTTCTGTTTTGTTGGGGGAACCTAAGCTGTCAGCATAAAGCCTGCTCAGGAATCTCTCTCTCCCTCTCTCTCTGCCCCACCCCTGCTTGCACACTCTCTCTCTCAAATTAATAAATAAAACTTTAAAAACAAATAATGGAATCCAATACATAATTTGTACATGCCTAGCAAGAAATAAAGATTTAAAATACAAATTAAAATAGTGAAACAAAGAAGCTATATAAAGGCCAATGATCAAGAACACCTTGAGGAAATGCTCTCCTAATTCACACATTAATTGATAATGTGATCACCACACATCAAAAAATTTATTCCGGACCTAGAGTCAGTTCAAATGAAAATGATCAATGTAGGAGCGCCTGGGTGGCTCAGTTGGTTAAGATACCGACTTCGGCTCAGGTCACACATGATCTCATGGTTCGTGAGTTCGAGCCCCACATCAGGCTCTGTGCTGACAGCTTGGAGCTTGGAGACTGCTTCGGATTCTGTGTCTCCCTCTCTCTGTCTCTGCTCCTCCCCCACCTGTGGGCTCTCTCTCTCTCTCTCCCTCTCTCTCTCTCTCATCAGCCCTCCTCAGTCTGAAAAGACATAGGCC